TTACGATATAGCAATCGGTATTGTCGGAGGAACTCCGAGACATTCTACGCAGCCAACCTAAATTTGCATATACATCGATTTTTTATTGAGAAATGTCGTTAAACGTTTTTTTTAGTTTTGTATTAGAGTCTCTGTGGAACCAGCCTCGAGCGACTGGACGAGGAATCGGTTAACGGTGTGTCCGCGATGGGTTTTAAATCGAGGATGACGGAAAACGCGCCATTTCTAGACGAATGTCTGTTACGTAAAAAAAAAAATGAAAAGATTAAGCATGTTTCCTTCCACGAGCAGAGCCTTTTTTTAACGATGGAACCGTCGGCGATCGCGTTAATTGCTTCCTTTTCGCGGCGAGATCGCGCGAACGATTGCGAGACATTTGATTCTCGTTGTCGAAGGTTTCTTTGTTTTAGAAGTTAGTCACCCTCCTTGGCCCCGTGGAGTTACGTCACTGAAACATTATTTAAAGAATAGGTATCCTCGGGCGATAGAATTTTGAAGGGTCGAAAGGTTAGAAACGAATCGAAAGTTTGCGCGTGCGAACGTATCGATTGCTTTCTGCGAGAATCGAGCTCGAATCGACCTTGAAAAAAGGAAGCTCGGAACGTCGGCGCGTGTCTCTTACATCGATGCATCAATGTAAGTCACCGAAATAGCGCGAGGGGCAAACTCCATCGGATAAACAGCCATCTAAAAATATAAAATAATTGTTTACGGACGGCCGGGTGCGTGTTTTTGCCAATTTCGCGATCTTCGACGCCTAGACGCGGCGCGAACGGAAGCAATTTGCAGCCGCCTATGACGTGTCATCGGATGTAAATTACAGCGTTTCTGCAAAACCGTTTTTCCCCCGTCTCGGGTCGACCGGACAATGGAACGGTTAAAACGATTCTACGAAACTATTGGTCTTCTATTGGGACCACATTCTCGATCTAATCGACGCTCGACATCTCTTCGAACGGATGGCGCATTTGACTTGTAAATGATCTCGGGTAGAATTCGTGTATAGAATCGAGGAAACAATTGTCACAGTCCGCGAATCGATGGTGTTCGAGTTGTTAACCCTTTCGTACCGGCGCGTACCGGTTGTAAATATTTCATTCCGTTCATACGCAACGATCTGTTTCGCCAGAGGTGTGAGCAAATCCAAACGTCTGACGAGCCTTTTTTTTTGGCCTTCGAGCACAAGCATATATCATCAACAATTTGGATTGCGACGAATCCAAATAATAAGTAAATAATTCGTGTTTACTTGGTCGAACGCTGGCGAAACCGAACGAGAAAATTTGTGTAAACAATGCCGGGGAAAAGAGAACGTTACACTTGTTCGAAAAACTTTAGCGCTGTCTGTACAAAACATGAAACGAGCCGGTCGGCCGTGAGCCCGATCCGAAGTCTAAGGAAAAAAATATGTAATGCAGACAGGTTTTACGATTGTTTTGCCATTGTATTAAAAAATCGTGCGCTGAACGTGATTACGAGCACCGTGTCGGCTTTAAAAAATGTTCCGCGAGAAGATAATCGTTTGCCATCCATAATTTAAAAATATTAGCTCATTAAATTACTGTCGTGCTCTGTCATTTTCTGACGGAATGTAAATTGTTTGCACGGTACCGTTTCGTACGAAATTAATCCGTCATTAACTTAAGTAGCCGCCTACTCGGCCACGCGACGCGTATACTTCGCCATTCTTTTTAATCAGTCCAAACAATAGGACGGTGAATCCTGTATCAATTTCGCCGCTCCTAGTTTACGAAAATTTTCCATCGTCTTGGCACGTGCCAACATTAACAATTTCACGGGACGCGAATTTTGTTGTTTATGAGAACAGAGTGTAATAAATCCTGGTCTGAAAAGGCGCTTCTTGTTGTTCCCTGGTGTACCAAGTTACGTAACCATTATTTAAAGCGATCCTAACGAGAGAGAATCGAATTTTCCGAGGTGTCTGTTTAAGCGAATAGAGTATTCAACCACCCCTGGAAAAAATTGTAATGGGAGATTCTAGAGGCCAAAATAAGACGAAAATCAAGAATACTAATTCGTTGATGGAGGCTTCGTTAAAAAGTTATTAACATTTAAAGTTTCGCCAGTTTTGAATTTTTTTCTAGAAAATGGGTAGGTTTTCGGGGGTAGGTCTATTCACCAAAAATTATTGTAATTGACCCCCGCAACCGGAGATAATTTTTTTAAAACGATTTGAAATTTTTAATTTTGATGAAGAATTTCACACCTTCTCAAATTTTTTCCTATGAAGTGGACAGGAATTCGCGGGTATGTGTAATGACAAAAACTGATTGTAATCGACCCCTGCAACCGAAAATAATTTTTTTAAAACGATTTGAAATTTTTTAATTTTGTCGAAGAATTTCATATCTTCTCGAATTTTTTTCTCGAAAATGGGTAGGAATTTGGGGGTATGTCTATTCACCAAAAATGATTATAATTTACCCCTGCAACCGAAAATAATTTTTTTAGAATGATTTAAAATTTTTTAATTTCGTCTAAAAATTTCACACCTTCTCGAATTTTTTCCTATGAAGTGGACAGGAATTCGTGGGTATGTGTAATGACAAAAACTAATTGTAATCAACCCTTGCAACCGAAAATAATTTTTTTAAAACGATTTGAAATTTTTTAATTTTGTCGAAGAATTTCATCTTTTCGAATTTTTTTCTCGGAAGTTGGTAGGAATTTGGGGGTATGTCTATTCACCAAAAATGATTATAATTTACCCCTGCAACCGAAAATAATTTTTTTAGAATGATTTAAAATTTTTTAATTTCGTCTAAAAATTTCACACCTTCTCGAATTTTTTCCTATGAAGTGGACAGGAATTCGTGGGTATGTGTAATGACAAAAACTAATTGTAATCAACCCTTGCAACCGAAAATAATTTTTTTAGAACGATTTGAAATTTTTTAATTTTGTCGAAGAATTTCATCTTTTCGAATTTTTTTCTCGAAAGTAGGTAGGAATTCGGGGGTATATCTATTCATCAAAAATTATTGTAATTGACCCTCGCAACCGAAAATAATTTTTTTAACACAATTTGAAACTTTTTAATTTTGTCGAAGAATTTCATATCTTCTCGAATTTTTTTCTCAAAACTGGGTAGGATTTCGAGGGTATGTCTATTCACCAAAAATGATTATAATTTACCCCTGCAACCGAAAATAATTTTTCCAGAACGATTTGAAATTTTTTAATTTAATTTTTTAATAACTTTTTAACGAAGCCTCCATTAACAAATTGATATTATTGATTTTTGTCTTATTTTGATCTCTAGAATCTGCCATTAAAATTTTTCCCAGGGGTGGACGAACACCCCGTATAGATCGCTAAAAGCTTCCGATCGAACGGTTCATTTGACTTGCAGATTGTTGGCTGGTGGGCAGTAACGTTGTAAAATGTTGTGAGTGCGCAAGCACGCGCGTTGTCCGTCAGAAAATCGAAACGAAAAGCCGACGGAGTCACGTATATAACGTGTGGTACGTGTCAGACTGCGTTATCGCGAAGCGAAAAGCTGCGATCGATTCGCACGGAATTGCCTTGCTGGTATGTTTGTAATCATTGGCACGCGGTAATTGTTTATTGCACTACGTGACCGAGATATTCGAGCGTTTATCGGGGCGCCTAAATGCCAGATAAGAAACAGTCAGGATATCGAAACATTTGGATGACCATGTTCCTTTCTGTTCGATGTTTATTTTATTTTTATCAGAGTTCGATAAATTCGTTTTTGGGACTACTGATTACAGTTGACCCCCGTACAATGATAATTACAATCGTAACTTGTGGTCGGTACCAGTTAATATTTACAATTAGAATTAATAATCTTTACCGCAATTATTGATCGTTGATCACATTACATTTTACCCAAGCGCGATGAAGTGTTTATTTCACCGTTAGTTCATGAATATAACATGGATTTTAGTCGTGAGGCGTCTAATATTTATTATTTGACGTCTCAAGATTGAGATCCATGTTATATTCATACGGCGTACGTAACAGTTTATTATATGAATTTGTAATTTACCGAACACCAACCAAAAGTAACAGGAGTTTAGGAATTTGCAATTGTTGATATAACATTTTTTAATCATTGCTCGAGATCGACGCTCGCAAGAATAATGAACTTCACATTTTTTGGGGGGCGATTAAGTTCCGGTATTGCCGTACGAATGAAAAATGAAGAAGAAAGAGCCGCATACATTTTCCACAGTGAAATTAGAAACGAAAAGTTTCACCGTAACGTTCATTGTGTGAAAATGATGTTTATCCATACATATTTATCGCTGGGCCTCAAGCTGCAATTACATCGTTGTTATTTCCTCAATGAATACGTGAAAGTTTCACCAACAATTAACGAATGCTTTTTTTTTCTGTTTAACGAACTCGCGATGTTGTTGCGTGGATCGGTAAACATGAATTATTAAATGTGCCTTTCACACGTGACTGCGCAGAGATAATAAAGATGCAAGAACAACCTTCAGCTACCATCGTCAATTTATTGTTACGTAACTTCTATTATCTTAAAAACTCCGGTTTCGAGATAAATATCGATACTATAAAATTCCTTAACGATGTACATTTATAATTTATTCGCCATGTATCACGGTCAAACACAGGATCAATTAGCATCCTATATGTATATTGCACGTCCCCTTTTATGTAAACTCGCTAGAAATCGCTTTCGTGGAACGATACCCAAACGAAAGTCATACAAAGAAATTTAGCGAACATACGAAACCTCTGTAACTTAGTTATTTTTATAAACAACGAGTAATATAAATTGTGGTTCGGTTGATAGATTGATAATAATGCAGAATGTCTGGCGACAGCAGTCGCAGTTCGATAACACTTCGCGAGCCTTTCCGACTGCATTCTGTATGCGAATAATCTGAACAGAGACTAGCGTTACCTGGAAGTGCGCGACAGCCAATCGTGAGAGATCCATTCGTTTCCTCAGGCGACGAGCGCTCCACGCGTCAGTCGACGTTTGTCCGCTCGTCGGTGAAGGTGTCGCGCGGTTCCGTCGTATCAAAAACAACTTCCCAGTTATTAAAACGCGTAATACGTAAGACTCGACGATCAAACGTAACGTTTTCTTCCCGAGTCGGGAATTACAATTGCTAATTCGGATCAAGTGACATCGAACCGGAACATAAAATATTTTCGAATTGTTTCGTTGGCGAACGACTCGAAATTCCGTCGATCGTACACGAAGGCAATCTTGTCGATGGAATTTTATTGGAATCGTAAATTTCGAGAGAATACCGCATTCGCGCGTCGTTGGATGCAACGTGAAAGTTTTTAAACCGAACGATCAACGGTAAAAACAGCATCGAATTGTTGAACAGTTAAATCGCGGAAGTTTCGACAACCAACCGATCGCAACAGGATATGGTTTGTAATTGGATCATCGATACACGGTGCATGTGAATGGTCGTGCTGTTTCTTTTTTATTTTTTCTTTTCGTTCCGAAGTGGCTCGCCTTTGTCGCGTGTTGTACAAGAATCGGGTCAACTATTGTGGGCAGCCTTGAAGGTAGTCCCAAGTTCGGTAGAAAATAAATTATTTCTGACTCGCTATCAACCGTGTCGTGACTTCGCGCGAAACTCTTAAAACGATTACGTTCGCCGCGCGTTGGAAACGATTTTGCCCAGCGTTGTCTAGGAAAGTTGTCCCAAGGAGGCTGCCTCGAGAAACTCGGGGAAGTTCGCCGTGAACGAAACGAGCGAAACTTCGAACGATACATTTGCACGGTCAGGCGCTCGTTGAATGCGTCCGTCGGTTGGCAAATTGATGCAAAACGTGGAGAGTATATTAAACTCGGCATTGAGGTGCACCGTTTTCTCAATGTCCTGCTAGAGAAGGTCCACCGGTTTCCCAGAAAAGTCGCGTCGCCGGAAGTGTCCGTGAAAACGTGCCAGATTCCAATTGTTCGAGGGGAAGCACCGCGCGAGATCGCGGCACCTAGAGGTCGCGTTCGATCTTTCCAGCCGCCGATGGGAGAGACGGACAAAACCAAAAGGCGGAAAAATGATCACCGTGCCGATATCCGCTTCCAGTCCTTACGTGAAGGTTACGTCCTACAGCGATGCAAGCGCTATTGGCAAAAAGCCTACAGTAAGTAGATCGAGAAGTCGTTGGCATTCTGGATTATTTCGTTTCGAGGTCGTTAGAACCTACCTTTTTCTATCGTTTATTTTTTTATTTATAAATAAAATACCGAAATGAGGGCGACGGGGGTTGGTTAACGCGTTGAAACATTTTGAGAACGGTGTCCCATGAATTTCATCCAAGTGTCAAGGGAGGTACATAAAAAAGGAACAAACCTAAAGGTTGAGTGGAGGAACAAAATTGGTTCGTGTCAAATGTCACGGATCGATCGCGCATTTAAACGGAAGTATGAGAACGAAGATAAAACAAGGTGGAGAATGCGGTTAATTCCCCCTTGCCCCCTTCCATTTCACCTTTCTATTGTTTCTTTTCACATTCTAAACAATCTCCGTAATTCTTCGCGTGACATTTAGCCCATCGTTCGCTCTATTTCCCAAACAGTTGCGCCAACGTGAGTGATCATTCTTCTGTTCGCTGCATTCGTCCTTTTCTCCTATAGCGACGCAGTGCAACAGATGCAATAGTTTTCATCGAACGATACATTCTGTTTGGCACATCGTAAAGAACCGTAGGAAATTGTTTCTGGTGCCGCGTCAGCACGAACAATATACAATTTATATACTTGTCGTTTATGTTATAACTAGACTGCGGATATTTATGCATTTATGGGAAATTTAGATTGTCAAAAAACTATAGAATGCATTTAATATGCAAAAATATAACAAAAACTTAAGTAAGATAAGAATTATTGTATTTAGGGGTTGAATGAACCCTCTACGAAGCTCTTATTTTATTAATTTCATTAATAAATATATGAATTTGCATAATAATCCGCAGTCTAGTTATAACTTTACTTTGAAAGGATATTTTCAAAAGCTGGACTAATTTAAAACCATCAAAATTATCTATGTTGGTATTTTTAAATAATAACCCAGCCTTTTTCATTGCTTAGACTACATTACTATACAATTTCAATTTGGCGCATTTGTAATTCTTTAAATTTCCACTGAGGGTAGTTAGCGGAACACTAACGATCACAGTTAACGTGAACCGCTATTAAAACGCCATCTTTCGGATCACGGGCGTGATCGTGATTTTTTGGTCACTGTGATAAATCACTGTTTATGCCCGTACGCGTTATGTAATAGATAGACAATATTATGAATATTTTATTGTCGTCCGATGGAACATTATTGGACGACGATAAAATGACAAAAATAATCGATGATCATCGACATTTCGACTCGGATACTTCGTACCATTGTCGTTCGCAGCCACCAAGGCTCATTATTCATTCTTATCGACTTATCACGGATTATTTTCTTTTCGCGACTGGTCGGCGTGTCGAGAGAGGAAGTTCGCTAGCCCCCCGGAGGCTGTTTTTCACTTTCTTTTCGCTTCCGTCCATTCGGTTGGGAGGCATAGTTTCGTGGAACCGGGAGCTAAATTTACAGCGGCGAACGAGCGAACGAGGAATCCCAGCTCTCTGCCAGCGCCCGTTGACTGACCGTGTTCCGATTATTTCGTGAAAAAAACGCGCGGGACGACTCTCGATCGCGGCATTTCTTGGACGCGGGGTAGACTGGTTGGTTTCTGACTGTCTAAGAATACCGTTGCATTCTCACCTCTACCTTGCACGCGGTGAAAGTTACGTAAAATATGAAACGCGTCTAATTCGAGTTTCGACGTGATTATTTCTACACGAACCACTCACTGGCGTCGTGTAGCGATGCTGCAGGATTAAGTACCCCTAGCGGATATTTGACGAAACTAACGACAGATTCATCCCAGCTCTTCTTCGGTTTAGAAAGTACTACGAGAGTAATTGGTTAATATTATGGGAACCTCATCGTTTCAAATAGTTACATTTTATGGCTTCTTTAAATGTTCTACATTTGTTGCTGATATAATTAACCTGTTACGTTTCAATGATTTTATGTACTATCACGCCTCATCATTAAGTACCCCTAGCGGATATTTGACGAAACTAACGACAGATTCATCCGAGCTCTTCTTCGATTTAGAAAGTACTACGAGAGTAATTGGTTAATATTATGGGAACCTCATCGTTTCAAATAGTTACATTTTATAGCTTCTTTAAATGTTCTACATTTGTTGCCGATATAATTAACCTGTTCCGTTTCAATGATTTTATGTACTATCACTAACTTTCCAATGATTCCACCGAACACTAAATCGCGATAGTTAGTAACTTAGGTTGTTTCTATTTCCAGCGAGTTATTACCTGCGTGTTTATAACTCCCATTTATTCGGTCCTTATGGTACAAGACCATTGGCCGGTTAAAATATCTACGATGTTCGTGATTTACATATACAGTGTGTTTCCTTGAACCGGAAACGATGGAAAAGTTACAAAAAAAATGTTCTTTATGTTGCTTAGTACTCGCTAGTTTACATCCCATATTTATATTCCACGTCCTGAACGCCACATTCCTCGTTTCACATTTGCATTTCTACGCTTCACATTCCCTATTTCGCGTCTGCATTTTGCATTCCACATTTTCCATTTCACACTCTGTATTCTGCATTCCTCGCCCCACGGTACCCGCGATTCATAACAGTTTCTTATTAAAATATTCCAGCGCTATTATTTTGCTTAACAATTCTGAAATTTATGTGATACAGTAGGGTTAGCGATCCTTTATTGTTATCACGTTCTGTTAATATTATTGATGTCGGTAAAAATGATGATTTACTACCGGTCGATAAATAAAGGCTCGATCGTCGCACTCGAGTTCCATCACGAATTTTACCGGAATTCTAGTACTCGTGTGGCAGAGTTATAACATTTCGATCACGTACCGTGGCAGCTGCTTTCACGATCCGCAGTGTTTCTTCGAATTGTCGGAGAGTATCGTGTTAGCGATAGCGAAAATTCTACGCGTTTGTTACACGAGAAACGATACACGATGCACGTCCTTAGTCGAGCGTTTACCACAAGACAAATCCGGTACACGACGATCGCCGCAAAAAGAAGGTGGTCGTTAACGCGTAATCACATTACCGAGATTACAGTTTCTGCAATAAAGTATCGATATTAAGGTGTAACAGTTTCTTACGCGGTGGATCATATTCCCTACGTCGAATTCCTTTTCGTTTCGTGCTTAATTTTAATTTAGTCACGTAGAGATACGCTTCGGTTATTCGTCGTTTTTCCTTTATTGCTTCCTTATCACTGTTCATACACGTTAGCGTGTATACAAGCACTACTGTGTTTCATATTCTCGGAAATACGGAGACAATCTTAGTTTATTAAAAAAATTATTAATAGATCTTATTATAACGATACTTTAGGGTTGGATCTAGGTAGCGTAGATAAAAAGTTAAGCAGTTGTTGCTCGACGAGATACGTGTCAATTTTCAAGTAATTAATTCAGGAAAGTTGACGCGAGACTTTTTCTTTTTTGTGCCGTACATGAAAAATGTAGTTCGAGAGATCGTGATATTTAAATAACACGAGTGAAAGCCTCGGGTATTCGTAGAAGGATTAGGAGCGACAAGCCGTCTGCATATAATTAGACGTGTTGGCTGCTGTGTACGTCTCTAGACGAATTTATCTAGAGCGTTTGTACTCTGACCTAGTATTATTTAAATATCGAACATGGATTACGTACAACAAATGACGGGTAAAAATAAAAATGCACAGGTTCGGTTTGAATTATTTTATTTTTTTTTTTATTATCACTTTGTCTTCTGTCGCTATTAAGTAAATTGAAAGTTACGCTCATCCGTTTGCTGTTTGTCGTCGTAAATTAATTACATTAATTCACGAACGTGTTCGTAAACACATCGCTAGACGCATTCCTGGCGATTTCAATGGAAACTGTGTCAACCAGGATCAAAGACCTTACATGCACATGGCAAATCGGCATTCAAGTTTTCTTTTTTTAGTGTGAAATCAAATCAAACGAAGTACGGAAAGCCCACAGCATGGCTGAGCAATTAGGGTTTAATTATGCTCGACACTTGGCTCGCATGGCAACGTGGTTCTCGTTCCTTCTTTTTTTCCTCCACACAGAAGCCCCAGAAACGAACGTGGGACAAATACAGACGTCAGTTTTCTTACATAAAATGCGTTTCGTCGCTCTATTGGCACAAATAATTTTCTAACGTCGACTATGAACAAACGGCGTTCCGTTATTTATGTTACAGCAGTATTTCTCAAGCTTCGTATTCCTGTAGATCCTTTAAATAAATAAAAAAATTAATTGTTGAGGCTTCGTCAAAAAGTTATTAAAAAATTAAATTAATAAAATTTCAAATCATTCACGGAAAAATTATTTTCAGTTGCGGGGGTAAATTACAATCATTTTTTGTAAATACATATACCCCCGAAATCCTACTCACTTTCGAGAAAAAAATTCGAGAATGTGTGAAATTTTTCGACAAAATTACAAAATTTCACATCGTCCTAAAAAAAATATTTTTGGTTGCAGGGGTCGATAACAATAATTTTTGGTGAATAGACATACTCACGAAATCCTACCCACTTTCGAGAAAAAAATTCGAGAAGTTATGAAATTTTTCGACAAAATTAAAAAATTTCAAATCGTTCTAAAAAAATTATTATCGATGCAGGGGTCAATTACAATCATTTTTGGTGAATACACATACCCTCGAAATCCTACCCACTTTCGAGAAAAAAATTAGAGAAGATATGAAATTCTTTGACAAAATAAAAAATTTCAAATCATTATAAAAAAATTATTTTCAGTTACGGGGGTCAATTACAATCATTTTTGGTGAATAGACGTACCCTCGAAATCCTACCCACTTTCGAGAAAAAAATTCGAAAAGATATGAAATTTTTCGACAAAATAAAAAATTTCAAATCATTATAAAAAAATTATTTTCGGTTGCGGGGGTCAAGTACAATCATTTTTTGTGAATAGACATACCCCGAAATCCTACGTACTTTCGAGAAAAAAATTCTTTACCGAAAATATACTGTGTGGCGGGAAATGTTTATATAACTTTTTAACGAA